ATACTTACTGCAATACTCTGTTTTGTTGTTTATACTTTGATATGCATGTTGGATAGCGGTCTAAGGGTGAATATTAGCTATAGATGTAGTCGGATACCAATATAATGCATGGCAATTTTTAAATATCCTTTTCCATTACATGGCAATTTTCACTTTGAAACATGACAAATCTTACACAACAGCATGACCTGTTTTCGCATGGCAAGTCTGAGAGTTCGTCGTCAAATACTAAAAATCTGACATCAGAATTTGAACCTTTTCCTATTTTGGTACTCCAAAGTCACCACAACATATTACAGGACCCCAAAGTTACATCAATACATATTTTAAGGAAAAAAAAGACTACCACTGTATCTAAAATATCACAGTTTGTTAACCTATATCTTTTTTATTTGACTAGATAATTACATGGGCATTGCAACTGGTGTAAATATTCTATAATATGTTAGGCTCCTAGGTGTTGATACACCTATTATGAAATACGTATAAAGAACACATTTCAAAATGTTAAAAAAATTCGAGAAAAAACCCGCGTGTACATCCGGACATCCTATGTTCGCACACAAAATTTTGTGAAAAAGAACATTTTTTGTGCCATGTATAAAAAAGATTATAAAAGGCATCGTGAATAGCTGTAATCAAGCATCAAAAATTGTCTTTTTACATAAGCCACAAAAAAATGTCATTTCATCGAAACTTGGTGCACGCACATATAATATCCAGATTTACACATGTGATTTTTTCGCGAAATTTTTTAACTTTTAAAATGTGTATTTTAGACAATGGGTGCATATACACCTATGAGCCAAAGTGACTTTCCGATGATGACCTTTCATATTAGTGTGATTGTCTAAACAATTATTTATCAAATCATGCCCGTGATTCACCTACCAAAATAAAATTTAGGATTTTATTTGAGAATCACTTATTTTATTTGCTAATCATTTATTTGGTAAGAATTTATTGTCTTACCTTAAAAACATAAATTGTACTTGGTACGTCAATGTCAAATAATTATTTATCAAATCATGCCTGTGATTTACGTACCAAAATAAAATTTAGAAGTTATTTGATGATCACTTATTTGGTAAGAATTTATTGTCTTACCAAAAAAATTTACTTAGGACATCAATAAGAGCATCTCTAGCAGACCCGTATAACCCATGGAACTGTAAAATAACCGTCAGCTTTCAGTTTCGGGCGAAAAAACTAGCCCTAACAGACCTCTTATATACCTCTGACCTGTAATTCATTTTAAGGGGTGCGGTAAAAAACTTCTCCCGATCCGCAAAAATATAGTTTTCGCGTTCGCTTCTACGGTGCTCCGTATCGGAGGAAAGCAGTTGGCGAAAGCCCAATTGCCACGGAAACTTCCGCGTCTGTCGTCCATGTCCGCCGTCTGTGCCGCCTCGGACGCCGCCCCGCCCTTCCGATAGCCCGTCCGCGTCCACCGTCCGCGCGGCCCGGTCCCCTAGCCGCCGGCCGCCCGTCCGCGTCGTCCGCCCGACCGCGTCTCTGGCTGCGGCGATGGAGGAGCGAGTTAGCTAGCTCGCTCCTGGATGGATTCGAGCTGAGCTAGCTAGCTCTCGATTGATTCGAGCAGGGCTACCCCGATGGAGGAGCTAGCTAGATCTTGGATTGGCCGCTTCATGTGCTTCGTATTTGATCACCTGTGGCTCCGTTTTTGACCGCTTCGTGTGCTATTCATCGGTTTCACGAGAGCAAGCTAGCTGATCATGGACACGGACGAGAGGAAGAAGAAGACGTGGGAAAGAAGATAAGCGAATATTTCATTTTACAGTTTAAGTTTGAGGCGTCTATTCTGCCACAGCTAAAACTGACCCTTAAAACGTGTTTTCCGCGAAATGCAAACGTGTTTTGCGGGTCGGCGGGATGCGGGGTCTGTTAGAGATGCTCTAAAAGATGAAAATGGAGGAAGGATGTTGGATGAAGGACAAGGTGGATGATACGTCTCCAACGTATCTACTTTTTCAAACACTTTTGCCCTTGTTTTGGACTCTAACTTGCATGATTTGAATGGAACTAACCGGGTTGATGCTGTTTTCAGTAGAATTATCATGGTGTTATTTATGTGCAGGAGCAAATGTTCTTGAACTGACCTGAAACTTCACGGAGCCACTTTTCAGAAAATAAGAAAAATATCTGCCAAAGATGAAGGCCAGGGGGGCCACCACCTTGCCACGAGGGTGGGGGGCGCGCCCCCTACCTCGTGGGCCCCCTGTTGCCTCTCCGACTCTAACTTCACCTCCATATATTGAGTTTCGGGGAGAAAAAATCAGAGAGAAGAAATCATCGCGGTTTACGATACAGAGCCGCCGCCAAGCCCTAAAACCTCTCGGGAGGGCTGATCTGGAGTCCGTTCAGGGCTCCGGAGAGGGGAATCCATCGCCATCATCATCATCAACCATCCTCCATCACCAATTTCATGATGTTCACCGCCGTGCGTGAGTAATTCCATCGTAGGCTTGCTGGACGGTGATGGGTTGGATGGGATTTATCATGTAATAGAGTTAGTTTTGTTAGGGTTTGATTCCTAGTGTCCACTATGTTCTAAGATTGATGTTGCTATGACTTTGCTATGCTTAATGTTTGTCACTAGGGCCCGAGTGCCATGATTTCAGATCTGAACCTATTATGTTTTCATCAATATATGAGTGTTATTGATCCCATCTTGCAAGTCTATAGTCACCTATTATGTGTTATGATCCGTTAACCCCGAAGTGACAATAATCGGGATACTTACCGATGATGACCGTAGTTTGAGGAGTTCATGTATTCACTATGTGTTAATGCTTTGTTCCAGTTCTCTATTAAAAGGAGGCCTTAATATCCCTTAGTTTCTGTAAGGACCCCGTTGCCACGGGAGGGTAGGACAAAAGATGTTATGCAAGTTCTTTTCCATAAGCACGTATGACTATATTTGGAATACATGCCTACATTATATAAATGAACTGGAGCTAGTTCTGTGTCACCCTAGGTTATGACTGTTACATGATGAACCGCATCCGGCATAATTCTCCATCACTAATCCATTGCCTACGAGCTTTCCATATATTGTTCTTCGCTTATTTACTTTTCCGTTGCTTTTGCTATCATCACTACAAAATACCAAAAACATTACTTTTACTACTGTTACCTTTTGCTACCGTTATCACTACTATCATATTACTTTGCTACTAAACACTTTGCTGCAGATATTAAGTTTCCAGGTGTGGTTGAATTGACAACTCGGCTGCTAATACTTGAGAATATTCTTTGGCTCCCCTTGTGTCGAATCAATAAATTTGGGTTGAATACTCTATCCTTGAAAATTGTTGTGATCCCCTATACTTGTGGGTTATCAAGAATACTTTCTGGCGCCGTTGCCGGGGAGCATAGCTCTATTCTTTGAGTCATTTGGGATATATATCTGCTTATCATTATGAAGAACTTGAGAGATCCAAAAACCAAGATCTATCCCTCAACTACGAGGGGAGGTAATGTTGGGGAACGTAGTAATTTCAAAAAAAAATCCTACGCACAGGCAAGATCATGGTGATGCATAGCAACGAGAGGAGAGAGTGTTGTCCACGTACCCTCGTAGACCGAAAGCGAAAGCGTTAGCACAATGCTGTTGATGT